CGCTTTCTGTCTCGCTCTTTCTTCGCTTTCTGTCTCGCTCTTTCTTCACTACCTTTCTGCACTCTCTTTCTTCTCCCTGTCTCTTTCTTTCTCTGTCTATCTCTGTCTTTCTGTCTCTCACTCTTCTCTCTCTTTCTTTTCTCTCTCTCACTTTTCTCCCCCTCTTTCTTTTCTCTCTCTCTCTTTCATCTCTCTCTTGCTATCTTCTCTCTGTCTCTCTTTCTTCGCCCCCTCGCTCTTTCTTCGCCCCTTCGCTCTTTCTTCGCCCCCTCGCTCTTTCTTCGCCCCCTCGCTCTTTCTTCGCCCCCTCGCTCCCTTACGTCTCTTTTGTCTCTCTCTCTGTCTGTCTTTGTCTCTTTCTTCTCTCTCTCTTCACACTCTCTCGCTTACTTCACTACCTTTCTGCACTCTTTCTTCTCCCTCTTTCTTCTCTTTCTTCTCTCTCTCTTCTCTCTTTCTTCTCTCTCTCTTCTCTCTTTCTTCTCTCTCTATCGTTCTTCTCTCTCTCTTTCTTTCTCTGTCTCTCTCTGTCTGTCATTCTTCTCTCTTCTCTCTCTCGCTCTTTCTTCTCGCTCTTTCTTCTCTCTATCTCTGTTTCTTTCTCTCTCGCTCACTTTCTTCTCTCTTTCTTTTCTCTCTTTCTCTCTTTCTCTCTCCTCTCTCTCTATCATTCTCCTCTCTCTTTTTCTTCTCTCTCTCTGTCTTTCTTCTCTCTCCCTTCACACACTCTCGCTTTCTTCCCTACCTTTCTGCGCTCTCTTTCTTCTCCCTCTTTCTTCTGTTTCTTCTCTCTCTCTGTCTTCTCTCGTTCTCTTTCTTCTCCCTCTCTCTGATCTCCCTCTCTCTTTCTTCTCGCTCTCTCTCACTCTCTGTCTTTCTCTCTCTCACTCTTCTCTCTCTCTCATTCTTCCCTCTCCCTCTTTCTTCGTTCTCTCGCTTTTCTTTTCTGTCTTTCTCTCTCCTCTCTATCATTCTTCTCTCACTCTTTCTTCTCTCTCGCTTTCTTCACTACCTTTCTGCACTCTTTCTTCTCCCTCTTTCTTCTCTTTCATCTCTCTCTGTCTTCTCTCTCTCTCTCTGTCTTCTCTCTCTCGCTTTCTTCACTACCTTTCTGCACTCTTGCTTCTCCCTCTTTCTTCTCTCTCTTCGCTCTCTCTCTTTCTTCGCTCTCTCTCTTTCTTCGCTCTCTCTCTTTCTTCGCTCTCTCTATCTTCTCTCTCTCTATCTTCTCTCTCTCTGTCTCTTAATTCTCTCTTCTTTCATCTCTCTCTCTTCTCTCTCCCTTTCATCTCTCTCTCTTCTCTGTCTTCTTTTCTCTCTCTCTCCCTCTTTCACCGCTCTCTCCCTCTTTCACCGCTCTCTCCCTCTTTCACTGCTCTCTCCTTTTTTCTTCGCTCTCTCCCTCTTTTGTCGCGCTCTCTCCCTCTTTCTTCGCTCTCTTGCTTTTTCTTCGCTCTCTCCTATTGCTTTTCTCTCTTTCTTCTCTCTGTCTCATACTTCTCTCTCCCCCTCTCTCTCATTCTTCATTCTTCACTCTCTCTCTTTCTCACTTTATTCTCTCTCTCTCTCTCTCTCGCTCTTTCTTCTCTCACTCTCTTTCATCTCTGTCTCGCTTTCTTCTCTCTCTCCCTCTTTATTTGCGCTCTCGCTCGTTCTTCGCGCTCTCGCTCGTTCTTCGCGCTCTCGCTCGTTCTTCGCGCTCTCTCTTCCTTCGCGCTCTCTCTCTCGCTTTCTCTCTCTCTCGCTTTCTTCTCTCTTTCATTTCTGTCTTTCTCTCTCCTCTCTCTCTCTATCATTCTTCTCTCTCTCTTTCTTCTCTCTCTCTTTCTTCTCTCTTTCTGTCTGTCTGTCTGTCTTTCTCTCACTCTTCTCTCTCTCTCTTTGTTCTCTCAGTCTCTTACTCCTCTCTCTCTCTCTCTCACATCTCTCGCTCTCTTATGTCTCCCTCTCTCTTACATCTCTCTGTCTTTCGTCTCTCACTCTTTTTCATCTCTCTCTCTTTCATCTCTCTCTTGCTTTCTGCCGTGTCTCATTCTTCCCTCTCCCTCTTTCTCCACTCTCTCGCTCTTTCTCCGCTCTCTCGCTCTTTCTCCGCTCTCTGTCCCTCACTTTCTCTCTCTTGCTTTCTTCTCTCTCTTTTGTCTTTCTCTCTCCTCTCTCTCTATCGTTCTTCTCTCTCTTTCTCTTCTCTTTCTCTTCTCTCTCTCTTCTCTCTCTCTTCTCTCTCTTTCTTTTCTCTCTCGCTCTTACTTTGCTCTCTCGCTCTTACTTCGCTCTCACTTCGCGCTCTCGCTCTTTTTTCGCTTTCTGTATCTCGCTTTCTCTCTCTTTCGCTTTCTTCTCTCTTTCTTTTCTCTCTTTTTCTTTCCTTTCCCTCTATCATTCTCCTCTCTCTGTCTTTCTTCTCTCTCTCTTATGTCTCTTTCGTCTCTCTCTCTCTTTCTCTCTCTGTCTGTCTTTCTCTCTCTCCTTTCTCTGTTCTCTCTCTCTCTCTTTCATCGCTCTCTGTCTGTCTTCGCTCTCTCTCTGTCTGTCTTCGCTCTCTCTC